CCCCCCTGCCATGGGCAGGGACACCTCACACTAAACCACATCACCCAAGGCCTTGTCCAACCTGGTCTTGAACACTGCCAGGGATGGAGCATTCACAACTTCCCTGGACAACCCATTCCAGTGCCTCAGCACCCTAACAGGAAAGAATTTCCTCCTTATATCGAATCTAAACTTCCCCTGTTTAAGTTTTAACCCGTTACCCCTTGTCCTGTCACTACAGTCTGTAATGAAGAGTCCCTCCCCAGCATCCCTATAGGCCCCCTTCAGATACTGGAAGGCTGCTATGAGGTCTCCACGCAGCCTTCTCTTCTCCAGGCTGAACAGCCCCAACAAGAGGGGGGTGTGTCTGAATTAAAGTTCCCATTTCCAAAGACCCTTTTTCTTTCTTTTGTCCCTGGTATCAGATGTACTTTGAAAGGAAGTTGACAGTGACTCAGTTGTAGTTTCATATCCAGGCTTGCCTTGCCTAGGTGAGAACAGAACAAGCACACTAGCACACTGTTGGTCCTCTTTCTACCCTTCGTATACTATAAACAGGATACAAGACACAGGTGGTGCATGTGGCAGCAACTGTAGCATTATCAGCAGATATTTCTCAAAAATGGAAGGATTTCCCCTGGAGAGTCTCTGGCCATTTTAAGGTCAGTCTGTCCTGGCCGAGAGGCAAGCTTTAAGTCGTTCAAGGGTGATTCTATTGCTGACTATAGGCAATATGAGAAACTTTCAATCCGATGTTTACTTTGGTGATCAGAGGATCAAATAACGTGAAATAAGGTACCATACTCGGTTAAGGTTTATCTAGATATTGCAGTTGAGGAGAATTTGATTGTGTATATCCAACTTCTTAGTGCTGTTTCTGGCCTGTCTGAAACACATTTTCTTTCCCTGTCACAACTCCCAGGTGCTACTGCTGAGCAAATAGTAGTATCACTGCCAGAAGTATTTGAAAAGAACAAAAAAAATTGATTTGGACAATCTGCGTGCTGTTGCCATTGATGGAAACACAACTGTGAGTAGGGTTAGGGCTGAGGTCATAAGAAGGTTAAAAGGAAAGTGCCCAGGAATCCTCTCCTGCCACATTTCACACTGAATTGCTCCTGTTTTTCAGCAGATGCTACAGACAATGCACTGTGCTCTATTAAATATGGGGAATCATTTAGGTACATTTACAAGCTACATTGAAAATTCACTCCAGAATTACTGTACTTGAAGGGTTACATAGAAAGGGCTAGAATATTGCACCAAGCTGGCACCAGATGCTATATTTATAAGTACTACACAAAAAGAACAAAGGCAGGATGAACAGGGCCCTGGCTGTTTACAAGTGAGGGCAATGTAGCCATCCTTATTCAAGAGTATAATGCACCTCATCTGAAGTCAGCGAAGACTGTCGCTATCAGGTGATAATCTTGGTAGCACAGTATAGGTCACAGTTCAGATAAAAGTATTCTCTGTAACACTGCTTTTTCAATCGCCTGCATGGCACTGCCCGAGCAAGAGGCTTGAATCACAAGATGGACTGGTAGGTTATTCTGCCTAGTTCTTATCTGCACCTGTGCCTGTTCTCTCCTACTTACTTGGGAGCATGTAACTACCTTGAACACCCAACAGAGCAGCATGCAAGCTTTTGCACGATCAAAGGTAAAATGTGCTTAAGACAAACTTTGGAAATCCAGCACAATTTGGCAAACTTCAAAGATAGTTGCCTTTCAAATGGGTTGTGGAGGAGGCCTTGGTAAATTTGAATGGTATGATTAGCATACCGGCTGTTTTTAAAACTGCTCAAGAAGAAGCTGTGTTAAAATCCATTTCCGCAAGACACACGCATTTTCTTTTGGACAGGCTCCACTAGCTCTGTTTCTTAAATCAATTTTTCTGGCACCGACTTCTTCTTGGAAGAATGTACGACACCAGCTCAGTTTCCTAACCAAAACTTGACAGAATGTGTGCAGCACAGCATAATGGCATCTCTACTTCATGGTTTCCTAAAAGTTACAGTACAGAAACCCAGGAAGTGAATTTGACTATTCCAGGTCACATCTGTTGAAAGTCGAGTAAGACAACAGAAGATGCCAGGGTAGTCTGCCCAGCACAGTGTTCAAACACTGGTGAGGGCCACTGATAAAAGGTTTGCCAAAACAGGAGTTGCCAAGGTCTTAGAGGAGTTTCAGGGATGTGTTCAAGTCTTACTAGATTTAAAGGATGATCCTTGGCAAACTCCCCCTGATGCTTCTCAGCATTTCTAGAGCCAACAGTTGTTCCATCTGCTGCTGAGGCCGACTTTGAAGAATCCTTGCAAAGAGCAGCACACTAACTTTAACACTATACAAGAAGGAAAAATACACAGCTTTTCAGAAGTGACCTAGATGTTTGCCAGTAGCTTGACACACTCTCAGGTAAGGCTGTCTCCTTGTCTCCAAACACTTGAGCGTATTACCAAAGCTGCGCTAGTGTAAACTGTGAGCTGAAAACAGAGATTTAGCAAACAGTATTTATTGAAAGATTGTCCAAGACATTAGCTGTTCATCTGTGGAAGTCTGACGTACAGCAGCAGTGAGAAAGACCACCATGCACTAACTTCAAAAACCAAGTTACTGCTGGGGGATTCAAAAAAGAGAAAACTAAAAAATGGTTGTGAAACTCAAGACAGACACTCCTTGACAACAGTTAAAAAAATTAAATTAAAATCAGCAAACACAGCAAACTTTTGGAGCTGCTGAACACAAACAAGCTTTGAAAAAGGAAAGGAAGGTCCACACAGACACGAAGGTGTTTCATTTCAACATTTAAGCTTCAGTTTCTGCCGCTGTGATAGATTTGCCAGCGTGTTTTCTGAGCGAGGCCACTGCACTATTGTATAAGCTTTATTCTAATTACTGTAGGCTTTATAAAGGTTTCTTTATCATTTAGTATTATAAATAATTGTGCTTCCAGGCTGGAGTTCAAAGCTCAGTACAGCATTCGCACAACAGCACAGGCAGGTCAGATGACCTTTCTCCAATTCTCCTCTCTGGTGCTGAGGACAGACAAAGTGGTATGTCTGTCATACGCCATTACCATTAGAACAGAATCTTGTTCTTTTATTACAACTGAACTCTGCCGGATTTCTCAGCAGGAATGCTAAGCGAAATCAATGTCTTGGATTTCCAGGCTGAGCTTGGAGGTCACAGCCACTCTATCATTTCTCAGCATTACCCCTTCTCTTTCTCTCACTCTCTCTCTGAGCCTCCAACTGGCACACAGCAGATTGAAAACAGCATGCATCACAGGGCTCACGCTGCACAATTTTACAGCCTTTTGGAGCCCCCTTCCTTTCCTTTTGGCCCATTTTTTTCCTTGTTTTTTTTTTTTGTTTTTTTTCAATTTGCAGATAAGTTTTGTTTGTGTCCTACAGATCTCCAAGCCAAAGGCATTGGAACACCTACAAATATGAAAAAGCAGTAACACACACAGGAGAATAGAGCTGATCCTGACAGTTGCCAGTAAGATGGTTATCCTTGATGTTACCAGTAGATATGGCAGACCTTCTAATTCCATGATCGCCACAAAATAAATACTGTATCCCCTTAGATCTCAGCAGACATTCTGCTTGCGCACAGAGATCCAAAAACACTGGGATTTTAAGTACAGTGGATCTTGCAAGCTGCCAGCCACACACAAAAAGACCCTTGTAAAATGCACAAAAATCTCTTATTAACCACAGACATGACTTTTTTCTGGGGGGAAAAAAACCCCGAACCATCAACAAAAAAGAAAACCAAAAAAACCAAACTATCATTCAGCACTGCATGGCTTTGTGATTCATTGCTCCATACTATATAAAAGAAGAGGCCAAGCCAAGAATAAACTTTGGGAAGTCAGGAAGTGAGAAGAAAGAAAATGTAGACCCAGAACTTGATGCTCTAGCACAACAGCTACCAGTTTCACACCACTTATTCTGTACTTTGAACATGTATCTCACTGAGCTGACAATGGTTTTATTTATTTGTCTGGTTATTTTTAATCTGTGCTGTTTTACTGTTAGGGTAAAAACAAGACACTGCTGTCAACTCCAGGAATCTTTTCTGATGTGATAAAGGACACGGACAGCATGCTAGAGGACGCTAACAAAAAGAAAGGACACATTTTTATCAAGCTCTGTCACCTAAATGGGACTGCCTTTTCCCTTCATCCCTTAGCTAAATTGTTCCCTCATGTTATTTAACACCTAAGATGTGCCATTCAGTCTTGACCCATTACTTTTGCTCAGCTGTGGCATAAGCTGAGCTCACCTTATTCTGGTGAGCTCAGCTTATGCCACAGCTGAGAAAAGTATGTGCTACCAGACATATTCTGTGTGGTTTTTTCTATGTATAACTTGTGTACTGGTTGCATTATACAGCTGAACTACAAGCTGTTAGCTTGATCTCTTAAATGAGTACAGACCTAATTGCCCAGCTATGACCAAAATTGCTAACCAGAGCCCATCACTTGATGGACAGAATCCAGCCTTGTTCTATCACACAACAGACATTCCTTTGGAGACTTGCTCCCCCACAGACTCCCACTGAACCCCAGGAGAGGACCTGGTCACAAATGAGATAGACGTCCTACTGCTTCCCATCTCTCACTGACACACTGCTAACCTGACTCCGGTCTAGAGTTCTGAGAGAAAAGGCCAGCTGCGTGCTAGAAAAGAAGATGATCACCTCAGCCTGCCACCCGTTACTGAAGATGGAAGAAGCAGCAGCGTGATAGCTAGGACACTGCAAAGGAACCATGGGTTCTCAGCTGAGGTGGTGTGTGCTACTGTCACTGTTTATAAATGATTGGTTGGTTTTTCTGTGCTGGGGTTCTCCCACTGGAAAAACTGCACTACAAGTATCCTCCCATTTCAGGAAACCATCCTGAGAACAAAGCTGCCTGTGTCTGACATGCACACAGACACCCTTGAGAAAAAAAACACACATGCAAGTACCCTCACTGTGAGGAACACAGTGCTGCAGGGCCCCGTACAGTACCTTGCTTTTGGGTGGAGGGCTGTTTGTGCTCTTGTCTGTGTGGATGCTGGTAGGGGATACAGCAGCACCAAGGTTACCCTGGGGTATGCCAGGTATCTTGCCTCCTGGAGACACTTGCATTGCAGCAAGTTGGGCAGCATACAACTGCTGTAAAAACAAACAACAAATGCGGGGGTGGGGGGGAGAAGAGAGGAGAGACATCATCAGTAAATAAATAATTTTCCCAGAAATTCTTCTGCTGCAGATAATATATTTTCCTTCTGATGGGTATTCTTTTAATTTAGCACGCTGGTATATTTCAAAACAAGAATGTCAACATGAGAAATGTCCCAGCTTCCCTGTGTGTCCAGGGATTCAAAACAAGGAACAAAACCTCATCTTCATGGTTTCTGTGAGCCACTGGGCAATCTTGCTCTTCCTGAGACTACTTAAGCATTAAGAGCATCTCCACTGATCATACGCATTGACCCCTGTGAAATTCACATAATGTTTGATACGATGATCTCTGTGCTACCACTTTATGTTTATTTTACTTGCTATATTTTTCTTGTTTGTACAGGCTGTAAGTTGTTCAGGACAGGAATGTCAAAATTTTGTTTAGCACTTACTGTGAGAGTCCACTTTCAGTTGGGTTCTGGGAACCACTACAGTCAATATAAATACATACAAATGGATGGTAATGTACTGTCCATTAGCAACTAGAAGCTCCAATTAGACTAAGAACCCTTTCTGTGGAACAGGTATTTCAGTATTAGCATGTGAATACTTATAATCACAGTCATCTGTTTAAAGTAAAGCACTACAGTAAGAGTATAATTGACAGAGGTCAAAAGCAGAGAGAAAACAGGCAAACTGGCAGTGCCTGGAAGCTCCCCTGACCTGCAAAAAAAAAGTGAAGAAAATAAATACGGTGGGCAGGACAAGCAGCAACTGCTGCTATTCTGCAAACAGAGGAATTTAGGTGAAGCCTAACAGAAGTCAGATGCCTGAGAAAGCAGGTAATGTAGTAAAAAAGGCTTTACCTCCCTGGTCACAATATCAGTTTCAAAGACCGATGCGACATATTATTTGTGCTGTACAGTACATGTGTAATGTGTAACACTGCATGATGGTGCTCTCTGCCTGCAGGTGCTAACAGAGCTTCTGAGACCGGATAACACGCAGGAACGTGGTACTGGATGTGAAAAAAACAAGGAGGCTTCAATATGACTAGTCGAAAGAATCTTGTTAGTGGTGCCTAGTTGCTTTGCTTCTGTTTGTTTAGTTAACTGCATATGCTGATAAAAGAACAAAGGTCAGGCACCAGACTGGAGGGCACGAAGAAATGCTAATACAAACCAACAAGTTTTAAAGAGGAGAATGGGGATTTGTATTCAACACGGAGCTGTGTAAAAGGTAGAGAGACACTGTTAATGTGAGTTCAGAGTACATAAACCCTGTAGCATACACTTAACTTGATCAAATGGGCAAGATCTACTGCTCTGATCTTGGACAACCCCAAACATTGTCCCGTGGTTCCCTGTACAAACTCTTCCCTTCACTGGTGCACAATCCTAGCCCTTTCACATAATTAGAAGTAACCTATTTCTGTTCTTTCAGGTGTAATCAGGCACCAAGTTCTTACTTATTTCTCTTTTACTCTATTCTTTTCAGTTTTGAATCCTTTTTATTTCTTTTCTCTACTTTGATCACTGCTTGTTCCTTATTTTTCTGTACTTCTTAATCGCCATTTATCTATCCCTTTCTGTTTAGTCTCCCTCTCTTTCCCCATCATCCATTCATTCACCTGTTTTGTCCTTGCCTCTCCCTCAAATTTATTTATTCATTTATTCTATGTGTTACCCCCAGCGAGTCTGAGCCAATAGATGCAAATCAACTACAGATAAAAGTCATCAAAAACAATCCAGCCACAAATCAGTCACAGATTCAAATGTATGTATTTATCAGTTGAAGTTCATATCCATTCATTCTTTCAAAAGACTAAATCCAGCAGGGAGAAAGGAACAAGGGTCTGTGTCAACCAGAGAAGAACTGCAGCAGGCAGTTCAAGGAAAACCAAGCCAGCTTCACGTATGAATTAATACATCAGAAGGGCAATAGTTGTTTAAGAAATAGGATCCATGTCTAGGGAACAGCTCAAACATAATCGGGCTTTGGTAATGACACAACAGATCTAGGAAACGCTTTTTCTTTTATTTTGCTCCCTAATAAAAAAAAAAAAAAATGGCAAAAGACATCCAGGCAATTATGGGAAAAAGACAAAAGAAAGTCAAATAACCACTGAGCAGAAAAGGTTCAAGCCTGCTGCTAAACTGTAGATTACCTATCAGAGAATATGCCTAGTCCACACATAAAGGTAAAAATAACATAGCCAGTTTGGACACGTAGCAGTCCTGAACCAACTGGAGATCACTGACAGGCCATACAGGAGGCCACCTGTGGAGGACTGAACCTCCCAGAAATTTCTGTGAGCCTTTGAGGAAGACTTTTCAAACAGAATCCTTGGGAATGGAAACAGAATGGGAAGAGAGAGAAATCTCCACCTCAAACATTGTTCTCAACCTTCTGTTGAGGTCCAAAGAGTAAAACAAAAGAACTAGACTATATGCAGAACATGGTGTCTAAGAATGTGTAGCATCTAACACCCATTTAGTGGTCACTGCGAAACGTGTTGGAAGTCATGGCTCTTCCTTACAGTATTGTTATCAATCATCTTTTTGGCACTGCATCCAAAGTAGATGATGACTAAATAAGCAAGGGGAATGAATTTCCCTATGCAACAGCTCTGGTGAAAGCCATTTTTAAGTAATAAATGGGATATATGGAATTTCAAATGTTTGCCTTACACTCAGTTCAGGGACAGATACACCTCAAGAGAGTGAAGCACAAAGTATAGTGTGCATTAAACTGTAAGGAGGGGTCTAAGGCTATAAAGCCTTCATTCATGCTTTGTAAAAACTTATGTTCTCCTGTTATCAGATTTAACATATCACCTCTTATTTAATTCATTTTGAGAGTTATAAACAAACATCAAATAAAATCTTATAAGAAGCCCCTTGTTAGAGTACCCTCTTAAAAAGTCCCTTCTTGCAACAGAAACCAACTATTCTATGAAAAGCAACATCAGGCACAGCTCTAAAATGAAAACCATGTAGCTTATGAACTTGCAAGAGTCTGAATCCTATTTAACAAGCAAGATTGTTCCTGCATTTCCCCTCTATTTCTAAAAATGGGCAGAAATATACAACATGCAGCACATTTCTCAGACTGTCAATATGTTTGTGCTTTGACATTACTGAACTTGTGTATTCTTATTTAGTTGTTTTAGGACATGACGACCTTTAGATTATACCCATGGAAAGGGCAATGGTGTGACCAAGTGCTGTGAAATCAAGACAGCTAAATGACAACAAATTATGTATTCATTTCACAGACAAACTCAACTCCAACAAAAGAACATTTCTACCCCTGCTTTCCCAACAGAGTTTCAAATTCTGGGACAGTGTATGAATTGACTCAGTTTAAACAGTAAACCATCACCTAAAATGCACCCTTATACTTTTCACAGTAATGAAACACAGACCTCAAAAAGTGCCATTTAAAATGTTACTCTGTATCACTGCTGTAATACACTGTTCTTGAGCCTTTTAATTTGTACCCCAAACACAGACTCCTGAATTCTTGCTATCTCTAACCTAAAGGCTCAACCTCAAATTCTAGTACTCAAGTTCATTTTGCTGCACTACAACTCATACAAGAATTTCAACCCATACGGTTTTGACTGGTTTATTGTGACCAAGGCACTCACTTGAAATCAATGAAGCACTACAGCTTTAGACAAGTTTATTTTTGCTATACATGATAAATAAGTGCAATATTCTAAATTTAGTAAGAAGGTAGAACAGGCTTCTGAAAAAAAACAAAAAGTAACATCTATTGTTTGGTTATAACTAAATGACTATTATAGTTTAAATGACTAAATAGTTTCAGCTACCCTGACCATGTGCAATATTGCATGCCTTTTTAATGTTTTGTCATTAACCTTTTATGAAAACCTCTATGGAAGCAAAATCCTCAGAACTAAAGCACAATATGATACACTTTTAAATGAGCAGGAGGTATAGTTATTTTTTTAATGTTGCTCCCCTGTTCTTAAGCTATTAAACAAAAATTCCCCTCCTCCCTAGGTCATCACCTAAACCACTTACAATTCTTCCGATATATTAAGCAGAAGTATTCAGCTGAACTCTCCAAATGGACTAGCTCTAACAGCTCATGACTTGATGACTCTGTACTACATCAATAGCAAAGCCTTAAGGTTAGACCAGCTTTGAAAACTTTCCCCTTGGGCATTGTTGTTACATGTTAACAATGCTCATTACTGCTTTGAGGGTACACTAAAAATGAATTCTTGTTCTATTAATATAGAAAATGAGAATGAGATTTAATAGCAATTTTAAAAAGGGTTGAACAAATTGTTAGCAATTACATAGGCAGAGATAGTTGATTCAAACATCTACAGGCATTTTGATTAAAGTATTATTTCTTTTTAAAATACTTTTATTAGTGAACAATAGAGACTAAGAGCTGTTATTAAAAAAAACAGAGAGAGATAGAGACAGGTGGGACTGGAGACTGAATTGGTTATTGCAATAAATTTGTTTCTGACATAAACTAGTTTTTCAGTGGAGTTACCACAGCAATGAATTTACAAACCACTGTGTCTAAATGTCTGAACTGTTGACTGATCCAACACTTCAATTTCTTTGTCATTTTGAGACCCATCATTAAAAATATACACATGAATGGCCCTGTTCTTTGATTTTTTGCATAATCTGGGGGGAGAAAACGGTATAAATTGAGATTCTCTCATTCAGAATACATTAATTGCATTTTCTTTACCTCAAAATTTATGCTTATATAAGGCATGCAAAGTGCTTGATTACAGCAGAAAGAATTAATTTTGGATCTGTTCATTTAAAAGCAGGACACAAGAGATTGGAAAGAAAAAGGAATTCACTTGAAACAAACATTTGACATGTATCTGTCATGGTTTAAGTCCAGCTGGTAACACAGAACCACGCAGCCGCTCGCTCACTCCCCCCATTTTTATTTCCCCCCTGTCCCTGGCGGGATGGGGAGAACTG